TGATGCGGCAGCTCCTCCGACTCACGTTGCGGTTGGGTATTTTGCTTCGGTCAACATGTAGAGAAGGAAACGGTGGTCATAACGGTAGAAAAATCACATCGAACGGGAGTCAGGAAGGATTTCATCGGAGGCATTTTCTAAAACACCCCGCGGCAGCACCGCTGAGCTTCGGCGACGTTTTTCAGCCAATTGGCCGGTTCTTTTACTTTAATTTGGCCATGGGTGCGTTTAAAATTGAATTTTGTGCAAGAGAAGAAATTTTTATCTCGTTTGGCGGTCGAAAATTGCTCCAGTACGGCGGCTGAGCTGTCTTCTTCGGCGAGGGGCTCTGGCAGCTAGGGTTAGGATTTGGGTGCGGATGGGGTTATTTATACCACTCTGCTTTTGATCTGGGCCGTCCATCGATTTTATTATGGACCGTCCGATCGCAATTAAATAGGGAGTGAATTTGGACTGTTCATCGCGATTCAATCTGGGTCGTCCATGCACTCGGGAACGGGTCTCAGCCGTTCGATCGCGTGCACGCGGATTGTCCACATGGCTCCCCCCGTGTGGCCTCCCGTGTCAGCGTCTCTGCCACGTGGCGCGTCCTGGTTGGTCGGGGATGCTGACCGGGCAGCTGACGTGGCGTAACTTTTCTAAATTGCGTTTTGAAAATACCTTCAGAATTCAAATTTTCACCACTTTTCTCCAAATTTATTTTCAATTAAATCTCTAACCAATTTTTACCAATTATTATTATTATTATTATTTTCATTAAATCAAATTAAAATTAAATAAATCAAATTAAAATCATATAAATAATAATTATATTCATATAAAAATAATAATAATTAATAAAAAGAAAAAAAAGAAAGGGTTGGGTGTTGCATTTAAAATATTAATATTAAATTGTTTTAAAAAAATTAAATACAAAAGTTACAATCTCTAAATTTAATTTTTATTAAATATATACACTTTAAATTTTAAATTTTATTTTATTAAACATAATAATTTCTATTTTTAAAAATAATAATAATACTTTCTACAACAATTTTTACAGATAAACAATAATACTTTTAAAAATTTACAGTAGAAATTACAACTGATTTAAATACGTAATTAATTAAACATTACTAGTTTGGGCCTTATTAATCACTTTATAATGATGGATAAAATTTATGAGTTGTATAATCTAAATATAAGTTGAAATTATAATTTAACAGGCCCAAAATATTTGGGCTAATCTTTTCGTCCCTATCGCTAAACTGACCATTAAAAAGTTAAATTTTCTTTTAATATACTACTTTATCTCTCACTCATTCTGCACTTTTAGTTATATAAGAGATATTAAAAAATATATATATATATATATATATATGATAAAATGTGTATCCGCACACAGACCTGTAGAAAGAAAAGAGGAAGAAACTGTTGCCCAAACAAGTAGAATTTTTCTTAATCGGTTCAGTCTGGTTCATTCCAAAATTTATTGGACTCCATTTCGATTCAAAATCTAAAAATTGAAAAATTTTATTCCGGTCTAGTCTGGTTCTAAACTGCTGGGCAGCAATTTTACGATTTCTCTACTTTGGACTGTACAGTGGTGAAACAATAACTGGATAGAACTTTTCAAGATTGCTCTGTTTGGCACCCGAGAATCTGAATACTATTGTATTTGGATTTCCCAGGAAAAGTTGTTGTCGGAACCGAGCATAATGCTTCAGTGATGGAATTGAACAGAACAGAACCAGGCAATTTTATCAATGCAAACTGCTCTCTCCCATTTCCTTGAACGCAAAACCAATCTTTTTTCATGGTTAACAAGAGCTTTCAATTCATGGGCTTTTGCCATCAAACATGCTTCTTCTCCCCACAAAGCTCTGCAACTTCTTTCTCAAATGCACCGTCATTCCATTCCCTTCGACACTTTCTCCATCCTCTACGCCCTAAAATCCTGCACCCCTCTCCATCACATTCAACTCATTCGCCACCTTCATTCCCCGATAATTAAACTCGGCCATTCGTTTCACGTCTACGTTGCCACTTCACTTCTTAACGCGTATGCCGTATCTTCATTGGAGGACGCTCATCAGTTGTTCGACGAAATGCCTCATCGGAACACCGTCACCTGGAATACTATGATTACTGCCTATTCCAGACATGGAGATGTCAATAAAGCACGTTGCGTTTTTGAGGGTATGCCTTCCAGGGATATTGCCTCGTGGTCTGCCATGGTTGCTGCGTATGTGAATAATGGGAAACAGGATCAAGGATTGGCGGTTTTTCGAGAAATGGTGTCAAATGAGGGGTTGAAACCTGATCAACTGACTCTAGGGTCAGTCCTATCGGGGTGTGCTCACTTGGGTTCTATTGGTTTGTTGGTGGGAAAATCAGTTCATGGGTTTATGGTGAAGAATGGGTGGGAGCTGAACGTGGAAATAGGCACGGTCTTGGTTGACATGTATGCCAAGTGCGGCTTTTTGAAGTATGCTTGTAGGGTTTTTGAATTGATGCCAGAAAAGAATGTCATGACTTGGACTGCGTTGATTTGTGGCTCCGCACAACATGGTTACAGCCAAGAAGCTTTATCTTTTTTCGAGATGATGCAAAAGATGGAGATTCATCCCAATGAAATGACTTTCACGGGAGTTCTTAACGCATGTGCCCATACAGGGTTGGTTAAGGAGGGACGCAATTATTTTAGGATGATTGAAGAGCATGGCTTGGAGCCGAGGATTCAACATTATGGCTGCATGGTTGATTTGTTTGGCAAGGCAGGATTATTAGAGGAAGCCTACACAGTTCTCAAGACAATGAGACTTGAACCAAATATTGTTATATGGGGCTCATTTTTGTCAGCGTGCAAGGAGCATAGGAATTTTGAGATGGCTGAGAAAGTCATTGAACAGGTGTTGAGGGAAGTAAAGCCAGAGTTCGATGGAGGAGTTTTTAGTCTTATATCGGATTTGTATGTTTTGAATGAAAAGTGGGACGATGCAGAAAGGGTGAGAAAATTAATGGTCAATCAACATGTAAGAAAGTCCAGAGGCTCTAGTTTTGTTAGAAGTGGATTATAGGAATTGTCATTAAGGAGCATATATCATCTTCAACCAGGAAATCCTTTGTTTCTTTGTCAGCTGTTTTCTCTTTGTTCTCTGGCCTGTTTTTCTTCCCCTGTTGTTTTCTTTTTTCTGTTAACTAGCAGCCTCTATGTAGCTGCGTTATTTAGGCCGTTGGCTCATTTCAACTCATGCCCGTTTCTGTTCTTTTACACAAAGAACAGAAAAGAATAGTAGACACGGAAGTATAATTTTATTCACTGTCAAAGATCATTATTGGTTTCTCCTTATTTTGGAGCTAAATGGATAGTTGAAAGATCTTGAGATGGATTTTCATGTTAATTTTTTTGGGAGAGAACGAAATATTCTTCTATTTTCTAATGGATGAAGTCTACTTTTATCTGTCATTGCCATATTTTTCCTTCAGAGATACATTTTTTCCTGATCCCATCTAAATAATCAGTCAGCTTGACTTTTGGCTTAAGCAGAGACTAAGCAAACAACATGCATTTAAGATGGGGAAATCATGTTCATGTTCATGTTCTAAATCAAAGGCACTGTGTTGCAGACGCTGATACATCATTAGGGTCTTAGATATAAATTCTATTTAATACTGTTGAGAGATTGGGCTTTGGATTCTGAAACTAGCCCGGCCTTTTATACCATGAAGAGCATCTGGTCTGGGCCAACTCCAGGTGAGTTGGCAGGACCAATCAAGTTTCCATATTAAAATTTAGTATTATTTATCTTCTGCTTTATCTCTCTAACATTTCTGGTTGGTGGAGATGAGCTCGTTAGGATTCGCCGTTGGGAATTGCTCTATCAGCAAACCCATTGATAGACCAGCCAAGAGAAATCTTGGTAGAATACAATCAGGATTGGCTATCAAATTATCAACCCAAAATGAGAAAGACTCCAATACTTCAAATTATCTGCACGTTAAAGGGAACCCAAGTTTAGTCAGGAGAAGAGAAGCCATTGGCCTGGGTTTATGTCTCGGACCCTTTAATGTTCTTCTCCTGCAGCCAGAAAACTCAGCAGCAGCTGAATCACTTTCATGTCAACTGACTGTAGCTCCTTCTGGTCTTGCTTTCTGTGACGAAGTAGTGGGGACTGGCCCAGAAGCCATCAAAGGACAGCTGATTAAGGTAAGCAGCTTCTTTAATTTTGACACTTTTCTTCAGTCAATATAAATAGAAGCTAAAGAATTTTATATTGGCATTAGTAGTTTTATTACTCAATGAATAATGAACAAGCTGAGCAGGCACATTATGTTGGGAAACTGGAGAATGGGAAAGTTTTTGATAGCAGCTACAGTCGTGGGAAGCCTCTTGCATTTCGGATTGGGGTGGGTGAGGTAAGTCTAAGTCTCTTGTTTCCACAACTTAATTTGCTTGACATGAATTGAACATTTCTTATAAACTGAAGTTGTTGATTAAATATGCATAACTTTGTATGAAATTAATTTTTAATTGAAATCGAACATGACTTCACTACCAACTTAAATAATCGATTAGACTGGTTATATCCCATATGATTAACTTGATAAAAAGATGCAATCAATTATTTATATTCTAACATCCATGAATATGGTAGGTGATCAAGGGTTGGGACCAGGGTATTCTTGGTGGTGATGGAATTCCTCCCATGCTTGCTGGTATGAAGCCCAGTGTGTGACACATATTAAGTAGTCAACTAAAAATACTTTTTGCCTAACTAATTAAACTTGATTAGGGGGCAAGCGGACATTAAAGATCCCTCCAGAACTTGGATATGGCATGAGAGGAGCTGGGTGTAGAGGAGGTAGGCAGTCATTTACGAAATTTCCTATATAAAGTTTAAAGAACATGTATATCTGTCACTGTTATTTTTTTTTTCCTCCATATCTGCAACATGTTTCTTATTTTGCCCTACATACAGAAAAATGTTGAAGAAAAAAGAAAGAGGTTTCTTACTTGTTGCATTTACCCCAGGTTCATGCATCATTCCACCAGATTCAGTTCTCCTTTTTGATGTGGAATTCATTGGCAAGGCATGAGAAGTTCCTTCCGGTTTTTTTTTTTTTTTTGAGAATCCTTTTGAAGAACTTTTGGAATTCATTTTTTTTTTTTTTACCCCATATGGTGAGGCTTAATAGAATCGTAACAGTTTATCTTCGAAAAACCAAATTGCTTTTGTTGCACGTTGTGAAAGGATAAATATATATGTCTTATAAATTTGATACCAATAGTATATAATTGGAAGAACAATATTATGTATATATATATGCCTAAATCCAGATCCATTTGACTCAATAATTATGATAAAATTACTGGATAATAAAATAAATTCTTAATTCCAACATTAGAAATGACTCACATGTATTCGACACTTGACCCGCATTCCATTTATATCATTTTTTCTGACAACTTAATGCTTTGTATTATATAGCAAAAATTCTTAATGCAAAAACTATGATGGTTATACTATTATATTGTATAATTTCTTACCGACTTTATCAGATAAAGTTCACAAGTTATTTGAGAGTAACTTTATCATTCTACTTACATACATTATAATTTTCGATAAATTACTGAAGGTCAAATTGCAACGAAAAATCAAAATTTATAAAACAGTTAACACATTTATGTATTAAATATATTGTTTAATAAATATTGTCTCATAATGCATTAAACTACAACAAAAAATCAAAATTTACAAATCAGTTAACACATTTATACATTAAATCTATTGTTTAATAAATATTACCTCATAATTTCAGTATTGGCTTGGTCTAAACAAAAATCACTAGCTATGAATTTGCTACAATTGTAAAATTTTTGTATAAAAAAATAATGAAAATTCTTTTTGTTTTATTGATATTTTTTTAGTTATAAAGTTTGAATGTCATAACAATTAAAAAATTAACTTAAATAAAAATAATTAATTTGTTATATTTAAGTAATATAAATAATAATGAGATACATTAAATAAGAAAAAAATTGTCAGTAATAACGATTTTCTTTTAATTCTCAATTTTAAACAAAAAACATTTTTTTTTGCAATTAATTATTTTTTTTCCAGACATAGTATTATTAGGTCCTAAAATTTTTCTGTTATAATTTTGTTTCTAAATTTATGAAATTATTTTTGATATAATTATAAAAATTTCCAGAGGAAGCGGCAATAAATATTTCTTATTTTTTATATTTAATTTAATAAAATTTGAAAGTTATAGCAACAAAAAATTGATCTTAACAAAAATAATTAATCTATTTTATTTAAATAATATAGATGATAATAAACATTAATAAAGAAAAATAAATCTAAAATAATTATATTTTTAAATTCTAAATCATATATTTTTTTTTAGTCATTTTTTATAAGATACTCAAATAATACATAAGAAATTTTTGTTATTTATGTAAAAATTTCATTATAAAAATATAAGTTTAATATTAAATTCTTGTAGTCGGGTCTAAAAACCTTTTCCAAACCCTAAAAGATCCCTAGCGCAAAGAAAGAATCAGAGGAATAGAAACCAAGACGGAAGCAATAGCAGTCGCATCTAAGAAAATATGGCGAAATCCATGAGATCGAAGAGAGAGAAGAGGCTTAGGGCTATAAGGAGAGAGATAGTCGAAACGCAGCCGTTCTACCAGAAGAAAGATGAGGCCAAGCTCGCTGCACAAGAAGCTGCTCTTGCTGCGCCTAAGCTACCCGTCCGCCCGATTCCGGGCTCGTCTACTTCTATGGAGATAACCACCACGACTACCCCGACAACGACGACGAACAGTATGGGTAAATACAAGTCACCCTTTCTCCTTCATTTAATTCCTGCACCATCCAATATTCGATAAGCTTGCCCATCTGCTGGAATTTAGTAATATTACAGAACCTGGTTTTTGGCTACGTATGTTTATGTTCTCTCAATCTCCTTAGTTTCATCTTCCTTTCTGAATTTGTGTTTTTTGTTTAGGTACTAGATTGCTATTTCTTGTAATTACTTGTTGCTGGGCTTTTTCTTTAACTATTTGATTTTTTAACCCACTGAGGGACTTGGTATTTTTCAGTTGAGTATTCGTTCTTCTTATGTGGGTCTTTCTCTTTTGAGTTTCGGGGCAGCTAATGTGAAAAATTCTCTCTTTAATTATGCTCCTTCGAGCTTACGTTTTGATAAAGTTTAGTACCCTTATCTTGGTGTTCATGGTCTTAGTGGACCAGCTCATAAGGTAGATGTTGAGGAATTTGTAAGGGACACCTACTATAGCCCTACTGGGAGAGATTTGATCAGCTTCATAACTTAGTGTTAGACCATTTTATTCAAAAATTATATGGAGGATTCTGGCTGTCAGGGCATTTATTTGGACGCTTATTCAAATTCTGAGAATTAAACGGGTGGACATTTAGCAACTAGTATTTTTGTTGAATTGAGTCTGCCATCTTGTTTCCTTCTAAGATTTTATTTAGTAGTAGATTCATTTCTATCCGTTGGCTTTCTAATGATAGGCAACCTTTCACAAGCTATGAAACTGATTCTTGTACACTTGTCTGATTTAAGTAATGCCTAGGCTGAATTATACATTTAGAATTGGGTTTATTTGCTTTGCAAGAAAATTAGTGTTTAATATGCTAGAAAAGATGCTGGATTCAAAGCCTTGTAAATTTCTATCGGATAGATATTTTGCTTTCTTCAATTGTGAATATGAGATGTAAATCAAGAACTTAGCAGGTTATTCATTGCTGTAAGAACTCTTTTCTTATGACTGAGACAAGCGGGAAATTCGGTCTTTACAGGTCTTAAGTTTTATGCCTGTTGTGAAGAGGAGAAATAAAATGTTACTGGCTCATTTTTGGGTAGAAATTGAAGTTGGCTATTTTGCGTATCTCGCATGTCTGTTTTTGAGATTCAATTCTGAGTGTCTTGAAACTGTCATTAATAATTCAAAGGACATCTTACAGTCATATAACCTACCTATGCACAACAAACACACACAGCATCCGTCATTCAATCAGTTAGATATGAAATCAGAACTATTTATCGTAAGCTGAATGTGGATGTGGCTCATTTGCAGATGTGGAGACGGGTGATGGACATCAAAGTAAGGAATCCTTGAAGCCTGTTGGTGGAATAGGGAAGAAGTTGAAGAAGAAGTTCAAGTTGGGGAAAAAGAAGCGCCGGGGAAAGGGTAAGATCAGGGGAAAACATAACATTTGATTTAACTAACAAAATAGTAGCACTTATTCTTCTCTCTTGCTGTATTGTTTTCTTGGAAAACTTGGCCCAAGAATTTCATTTTCAGTTGTTTGTTGCAAATAATTCTGTCGTTGATTGTTTACCAAGCTTTAGAAATCTTGACCCACAAGAATGAAATTCACTTAGCAAGTAGTTATCGCTTTTTATTTTAGTCAGGTTTTATCTCGTATGCAATACTCCGAACCGAAAATTATTGATGCACTAGATTAATATGGAGTCTGGATAAGATTGTCAAGGGAGGAGTTAGTTTTGTCCTAAAAGTGTTGTGATGCGGGGTTTCTACATGGATCATGGACGGATATATCATGTTATCATTGCACCTTCTTCTTGAGTGTCGAAAGGCATGATTTCGGGTCCTTTGCAGGTGTCATCATCCTTCCCCTTGTCATATATATAATGATTGTTTTTGTTTGATATGACGAAGTCATGTTTATTTATTGGGTATTGTATGGTAAGAAAAGAAGACTTTGTCACTTCTATTGAGTATGGTAGACGAACACAAGAAGATTTTACAGTGACGAACACAAGAAAGACAAGAACAATGCACCTAGGAGTGGTATGCATTTGTTAGAATATCTTTTTGCAGAGTATATTTTGATTGTTTTGACAAGAATTTTTTAAATTAAAAAATGATTTTATTTTGTTATATTTTGAAAGAATACTATGCTTTAAATACTAATATTTAATTTAAATTTATTTTTGAAATTATGTTAAACTAATTATTAGTACTTTTTAATTAATGGTTGAAGCTTGTAAATCATTTATACCTCTGAATCGTCGTCACTCTGATCCATCATGTTCAAACACTACTTAGATGAGATTTGAAAGGAAAGAAGCAATAAGAATTAAAGATGATGAAATGGAGCGTGAAGAACTCATGAGAAAAAAGAAAAGTGAAAGAGAAGAATGGAAGATCTTCCATGTAGAATTCAATAACATTTTTGTATGCAGATAATTCTAAATTCGACTTTAAAACTTTGAAATCCAAAAAATATAATGTGATACAACATATTCCAAACAATACATTTGATCCAACGACAAAATTTTTTTTTTTTTATATATTGTAATGAATAAAAATATAGAGGATAAGATTGTAACTTGACACTAATAGGTAAACATGAAAGTCAACTAATCAAAATTACAAACTTTCCTTTCTAATTGGGTTCTGAGGTCAAGTCAATCAACTCGGATATATATATATATATATTATATATATATACAGACACATATATTTATAGTTAATAGACACAACTTTCATTGTAACTTGGATTAATGTTCCACGACTTGGCCATGATGCGGACACTACAATTTTTCATTAGTTGACGCATGTATATACATATACATATAATTAGGACGCCATAAAAATGAAATTTTTATTTAAAACTTTTTTGGGTAATACACATTGAACCAAACCATGCTTGTTAAATTCATGTTAAATAATAAACACCACAATTCAACTCTGTTTCTTTTTTTTTTTTTTTGGTGGGCAGGATGAGGTAAAGCTTATTAATAACAATACATCATGAACGAATATACAAATATATAAGCTTAAATATCGTTTTCCCTTAGCGTTGAAGAAATCTTAATGAAAACTTTTGAAAATTATAATAATTTTTTGGGTTGTAATAATAATCTGATTTTAAATAGAAGTTGTTGCAGTAGGATTTGATTTGCCTTGAACAAGAACGCGGTAGTTGTGCTGACCGTGTCAAACTCTTGTGTCGTTTCCTTTGCTTCCCAGTCACTTGACATTTTTAAGACGCAAACTCCATCAATACCCAACGCCAAAATTCTCTCCTTTTAACTTCTACTTTTCTCTCCATTTTCTTTTTCATTTTCCACAGAAACAAACAGACATGACTGGGTTCAATCCAAAACCAATATGGGCTTTTCTGGTGCTATTAGCAACTTTTGTAAGCAGCGTGTATGGAAGGTTTATAGTAGAGAAGAGTAGTATAACGGTGCTGCATCCGCTGAGTTTGAGCTCAAAGCATGACAGTGCTATAGGAAATTTTGGTATACCTGACTATGGAGGTTCCATGGTGGCTTCTGTGGTATATCCTGGACAAGGGGCATCAGGCTGTGAACCCTTTGAAGGTGATAAACCTTTCAAGACTAAGCTTCATCGTCCTACTATTCTCCTTCTTGATCGTGGAGGTATTCTTTTTATTTTTTATTTTTCACTTTTTCATCTGTTTTCTTTGTTTGAGAATTGATGGGTTGATGTTAAATTTTACTTTGTTGAAATAAATATGGTCGTGTCTAATTTTTCAAAAGCTTAACTGATTGCTCAACCTATTATTTGTATTTTAATGATAGATTTTTGTAAAAGCTTGAAGCCAAAGCCAAGTATGTAGCTTTACTTAGTTTTCAAGAATTTGATTGATAATGCATGTTCAAAGGAGAAAATATGATCTTTCTTATTTTTTTTTTCTTTTTTTTTTTTCAAAATTTCCCAGCAGGGAAGTAATTTTTAAGATTTTGGGAAGCCCTGTGATTCCTTAAGATGTACTTTTCTGGATACAACTCTTCCCGGTCACTGGCTAGAAGTTGACTCATGAATGCTTATTCTTTTACAAGAGTTTATTGATGGGTTGTTAAATAAGGTTACTGCAGGGATTAAAATCCATTTGAATTACCTTGTCTTTTCTTTTCTTTTCTTTTTTTGTACCTTAAATTGGGTGTTCTTTTGTTAAATATGATGTTTTTTCTTTTATTATTATTCTTTGGTTTAAATTTCAATTTCATAAAATAAGAATAGAGATTCAGTGCAAATATAATATAAATTTTAGCAAAAATAGTATCTTAGTTTTAAGTCAATATTTTTTGAACAATTTAAGTTAGATGTCTTAGTGATTCTCTCTTAATAGTTGAGATTACAAATTTATCGTCGGGAAAGTAAAAATATGAATGAAATTGGCTAAATTATACGTTAATATGTAAGCCGTTATTGACTTCTATATGCTGAACAGAAATCTCTCCTTTTTTATTTTCTCAAATTACTTTCATTTTCATTTGCCAACAAAGTCGTCTTTGTTCTGTATCTTAAGAGATTGACTATGAGATTCATCTCAGAAAGAAGAAAGAAAATTAATATTAGAGCTGCTTCATATAAATTTATTCTTTTGTTTCTGTAATGTTCTCTCTGTTGATTTTTTAATTAAAGATTTAGCATATCCTAAGACTTGACTGATTGATTGTTTTTCGTTATTCCCAAACCGCCTGAAATTTAAACATCCAGAATGCTACTTTGCCTTGAAAGCATGGCATGGT